CCCGGCTCAATTTTTTTGGGGGTTCTCGATCTCCATTTTTTGGGGGGTCCCTGATTCCCTTTTTGGTTTCTCGATTCCATTTTTGGGGGGGTTCCCGATCCCATTTTTGGGGATCCCTGATTCCATTTTTTGGGATTCCTGACTCAATTTTTTTGGGGTTCTTTGACCTTTTTTGGGGGGTTCCCAATCCCATTTTGGAGTTCTCAATTCCATTTTTTTGGGGTTTCCGATCCCATTTTTGGGGGTTCCTGATTCAATTTTGGGGTTCCTGATCCCTTTTTGGTTTCTCGATTCCATTTTTTGGGGGGTTTCTGACTCAATTTTTTGGGGTTCCAAAACCCATTTTTTTGGGGTTTCTGATCCCTTTTTGGTTTCTCGATTCTATTTTTGGGGGGGTTCCCGATCTCATTTTGGGGTTCCTGACTCAATTTTTGGGGTTCCTGATCCCATTTTTGGGGATCCCTGATCCCATTTTTTGGGATTCCCAAACCCATTTTTTTTGGGTTCCCGTTCCCATTTTGGAGTTCTCAGTTCCTTTTTTTGGGGGGTTCTGATCCCATTTTTGGGGGGTTCTTGACTCAGTTTTGGGGTTCTGATCCCATTTTGGGGTTCTGATCCCATTTTGGGGTTCCCCCTCTCTGTTCTGGGATTTTTCCCCATTTTTAGGGTTTTTTCCCCATTTTGGGGTCTCTCTCCCCATTTCAGACCTTTCGCTCTCCCTGTGTCCGCCAGGGGGTTCCTGAGGTGTCCCAAATGTCCCAAATTCGAGGTTTTTCACCCCAAAACCCTCCCCTGTCCCCAGAAGGTGTCTGGGGTGTCTCAGGAGTCCCCAGTGTCCCAAATTCGGGGTTTCTCACCCCAAACCTGTCCCCAGGAGGTATCTGAGGTGTCCCCAATGTCCCAATTTCAGGATTTCTCACCCCAAATCCCCTCCCCTGTCCTCAGGAGGTGTCTTAGGTGTCCCAAATGTCCCAAATTCAAGGTTTTCCACCCCAAACCCCCTTTCATGTCCCCAGGAGGTTCCTCAGGTCTTTCAGGTGTCCCCAGTTTTCATCCCAAAACCCTCCCCTGTCCCCAGGAGGTGGCCGAGGTGTCCCAAATATCCAAATTTCGAGGCTTTTTTACCCCAGTCCTGTCCCCAAATGTCCCAATTTTGAGGTTTTTTACCCCAAACCCTGTCCCCTGTCCCCAGGAGGTGGCCAAGGTGTCCCAAATTCGAGGTTTTTCACCCCAAAAACCCCTCCCCTGTCCCCAGGAGGTGGCCGAGGTGTCCCAAATATCCAAATTTCGAGGCTTTTTTACCCCAGTCCTGTCCCCAAATGTCCCAATTTTGAGGTTTTTTACCCCAA